GGATGTTACTCGTGACTTCTATTGTGAAGAGTGATGCAAAATACTTGTTCAGTTCCTCTGCCATTTCTTTGTTCCCTATTACTACTTCTCCAGCATCATTTTCAAGCGGCCCAATGTTCACTTTTGCCTCTCTTTTGCCCTTTATATACCTAAAGAAACTTTTGCAATCTTCTTTTGTATTACTGACTAAATTACCCTCATATTTAATCTTCTCCCTCCTTATTTCTTTTTTAGTTGTCCTCTGTTTGTTTTTGTAGGCTTCTCACTGCCGTCTGCCGCATTATATGCTTTCTCTTTTGCTTTTATGCTGTCCCTGACTTCCCTTGTCAGTCATAGTTACCTCATTCTTCCTTTGGTACACTTCTATTTCCTAGGGATAAGTTCTTGCTGTGTCTACTGAATTACTCCCAGAAATTCCTGTCATTGCTGTTTCGCTGTCTTTCCTGCTAGGCTTCTCTCCCGGTCAATTCTGGTCAGCTCCTCCCTCATGCCTCTGTAGTTGCCTAAATGCAACTGTAATACCGTTACATCTGATTCTAGCTGCTCCCTCTCAAATTGCAGAGTAAATTCTATCATATTAGAGTCACTGTCTCCTAAGGGTTCCTTCACCTTAAGCTCCCTTATCAAGTCTGCCTCATTGCACATTCCTAAATCCAGAATTGCCTGTTCCCTAATGGGGTCCACCACAAGCTGCTCCAAAAATCCATCTTGTAGACCACAAATTCCTTTTCTTGTGACCCACTGCCAACCTGATTTTCCCAGTCCACCTGCATATTGAAATCCCTCTTGATCACTGTAACCTTAATAAAAATTGAAACAACTGCGGACGCTGTAAATCAGGAACAAAAACAGAAGTTGCTGGAAAAGCTCAGCAGGTCTGGCAGCATTTGTGAAGAAAAATAGAGTTAACATTTCGGGTCTGGTGACCCTTCCTCAGAACCCTGATCTAAGGAAGGGTGACCAGACCCAAACCCTGATCTGAGGAAGGTTCACTGGACCTGAAACATTAACTCTGATTTTTCTTCACAGATGCTGCTGGACCTGCTGAGCTTTTGCGGCAACTTCTGTTTTTATCACAGTAACCTTTCCGTTCTTACATGCCTTTTCTATCTCCTGGTGTATTTTCTACCCTACATCCTGACTACTGTTTGGAGGCCTGTACATAACTCCCATTATGTTTTGTTTTACCTTTGTGGTTCCTCAACTCTACTCACAAAGATGCTACATCATTTGACTCTACATCGTTTCTTGCTATTGATGTAATTACATTCCTTACTAATAAGGCAACCACAACCCCTCTGTCCACCTTCCTGTCTTTTCGATAGGATGTATATCCTTGGATATTTAGCTGTTGAGTCCTGATCCCCTTGCAGCCACGTCTCCGTGAAGCCCACCACATCATACCTGCCATTTTCGATATGCGCCACAAGCTCATTTACCTTACTTCATAGTCTGCATGCATTCAGATACAATGCCTTCAGTCCTGTATTTACTATCCCTCTTTTCATTGTCATCCCTTTATCCGGTGTGCTTGAAGTTTGATTCCTAACCCTTTCCAAATGCTGTCTCCTTTTTTGTGTTCTGAAGGATTTAATAACCTCTCCTGACTTCCCTTTTCAGTGTTTTTCATACTTTTCCATGCAGTTGAATCCACCCTACACAGATGTTAACCTGCTGCCTTGTTTCCCATTGGCCATACTTCCTGGTGTTTTACCCTGCCCTCCCCACCCCCATTTTCTAGTTTAAAGTCCTGTTGACCAGCCTATTTACACCTTTCGCTAGAACATTGGTCCCAGCTCGATCATCCCACGAGACCATCCCAACGGTACAGATCCCTCCTGTTCCAGTACTCATGCCAATGCCCCATGAAAAGGAACCCCTCTTTTCCACACCATTCTTTTAGCCACGTGTTTACTTACCTTATTCTTGCCTCTCTATGCCAATTTGCACATGGCTCAGGTAGTGATATGGAGATTATAACCCTTGAGGAGCTTTTCTTTAATTTAGTTCCTATTTCCTGATAAACCCCTAAACAGCTCCTCTTTCCTAGTCTTGCCTATGTTGTTTGTCCCAACATAGACCACAACAACTGGATCCTCTCCCTCTCTCTCCAATATCCTTTCAAGCTGGTCAGCGATATCCTTCACCCTGGCACCGGGCAGGCAACATACCATGCGGGACTCTCGATCCTGCTTACAGAGGATGCTTTCTATTCCCCTGAGTATACAATGCCCTCCAATTACCACTTGTCTTTTTGCTCCCTCCTCTTGATTGGCCAACTGTACCACAGTGCTGTGGTCAGCAGCTCATCCCCCCTACAGTTCTGGTCCTCATCCACACAGGGAGCAAGTACCTTGTACCTGTTGGACAAGGTCAAGAGCTGAGTCTCCTCTGTTCCTGAATACAGGATCATTTTACCTGCCTCGCTTGCAGTCACACCCTGCTGTTCCTGACCGATGACTGAATTTGAGGTGCTTAATCTGCCAGAACTTAATGGATTCCAGAGTCAATGTTGAGGGCAACTTCATCCCAGATGTAGACCACTGTGTCACTGCCTCTGTTATGTCTGTCGTATGGTGTGACAGGACATATCCTGGATGGTGATGGAGGTGACTGGTACATTGTAAGGTATGATGCCGTAAGTATGTCTATGTCAGGCTGTTGCTTAACTAGTCTGTAAGACAACTCTCCCAATTTTGACACTCGGTCCCAAATATTGGTAAGAAGGACCTTGCAGTGTCATCAGTGCTGTTTTGGCTGTTGTCATTTTGGTGCCAAAGTTGATGCCAGGTGGTCCATCCAGTTTCATTCCTTTGTTGAGACTTTGAAGAGACTGAAACAACTGAGTGGCTTGCTAGGCCATTTCAGAGAGCAGTTGAGAGTCAAACCACATTGCTGTAGGTCTGGAGTCACATGTTGGCCATAGCAGGTAAGGGTGGCAGTTTCCTTCCTTGAAGGACAATAGTGAACCAAATCAGTTTTCCCAACAATTGACGGTGGTTTCATGGTCATCATTAGATACTTAGTTCCAGACTTTTTTATGGAATTCAAATTCCCCCATTTGAACCCAGGTACCCAGAACATTTGCTGAGTTTCAGGATTAATAGTCTAGCAATAATACCACTAGGCCATCACCTCCCCTTTTGGTGTCAAGCTTTTTGAACATGCTGGAGTTGCATTTGTCCAAGCAAATAAGAATTATTCCATCACACTCCTGACCTGTGCCTTGTAGATGGTGGACAGACTATGTGGAGTTGGGAGGTGTTACTTGTTGCGGAACATCTAAGCTCTGATCCAAGTAGAACACCACTCACCACGTCTGCCACTTTAAGTAACTACTCTTTACTCCCACTCTCTGTTTGCTGTCTCAAAGCCTCTGGGGCACCTTGCTAAGAGCCTTTTGAAAGTTAAGATAAATTCCATCTACCACGTTTTCTGCTGTATTCCCTCTCGAAAAATTAGTACATTCATCAATTCTTCCGAGATGAAGCACAGTTGCAGCAGCGTAGTCGGTTTAGTAGCAGGGATTCAAGACATTAGGGTGGAGGGGCCCTGATCCAGGCCCCTGATCTGGCTGAGCTAGAAGTGGGAGCTATTCCAAAGACCACCTCACTGTATTGAAATAAGACTATAAGATGAACTTGATTGTTTTATTTTTCTGGCTTTATATTCTGAGTTTTGGTTTATTTTCTGTGTTTTAAGATGGCGTTGGAAAGTCACAACACAACAACACTTTTAACTGATAACAGTGTGGAGCTGGAAGAACACAGCAGGCCAAGCAGCATCAGAGGAACAGGAAAGTTGACGTTTCAGGTTGACTTCAGAAAAGGCCTGCTGTGTTCCTCCAGCTCCACACTGTTATCTCTGACTCCAGCATCAGCAGTTCTTACTATCTCCGAACACTTAACATTTGTTTTATGTACATGTCACAATAAATCAAATCAAATCAAATCAATTCATTCTATACAATGGGACTGACTGGGTAACTCTTCTGGGAGCCGACATACACAGTCTATGGGCCAAATGGCCACCTTCTGTCCTGCAAAATTCTATGATCCAGCTGGATTTTCATTTTTGAAATCTATGCTGACTACATTCATTATTATATTTCTAATTTCTGATTGCTCCATTCCATCCAAAATCTAGAAAATTTTTCAGAAATACGAACAATGCACCCAGTATATCTGCAACAAATATTTTTTAAGCATCCAAGGCTGAGGCCATCAGTTTCACGAATATTGTTAGTTTTGCTCGCTCTTTCTTTGCAGTGTCAATGATTATTTAAGTCTCTTTCTTCCTTTCTTCTTTGTTTTCCACAGGAACAACATTTCCACAAAGTACGTATTCGTATGTTAAAAATCTTGTTAATGGTTTTGAGTAAAATGACAAAAAAACTTGACTTTCCTGAAACCATCTGCATCCTCAAAGAAAATCTTGTAAATTCTGCAAAATGCATTCTCTAACCAGCAGGAGACAGCACTGGCAGCACTAAAAGAGGGAATTTAAAAAAAAACCCTAAGTTTTATCGTATATATTTTTACTAAGATTTGTTCTTGCGTGCGCCAATACGACATTGTTCTATAGTTGAGTATGCAGTGTGAACTAGAGGATACACTGTTGATCTTTGACTGTTTATCTGCAATTTTCCTAAATTTGCAGTTCTACCGCTTTCAGCTTCACTCAGACTTGTCAATCAACGAGTTGCCCGGCGACTGTGGCGGGGTTTGCAAGTATTGTTAAAGTTCGTAATGCAGCCTCCTTTGCAAGTTTACGCCATGGCATTTTGAAAAGTGTTCGCGGCATGGAATTTATCATTTCTCTGCAAAGTTTTGCAGACTTTGCATTAACCGATGAAGATGTTAAACTCCTGCTTTGTCACGTCAGTGAGGATGCAAATTTGAAGGCAACGTGGAATAAATATTAATGAGGTGGGGGCGTTGCGGAGGATGGCGTCGATTGGCTGAGGATGAAGACGCGCTGTCAGTGATTGGCGAGACGAGCTGTCAGTCAAGGAAAGGCCGTCCCTGGTTGTGGTGATAGTTTGTGAATCGCGCGCAGACACAGAATATTTTCGAGTCTCAGTTGGATACAGAGTATCCCAGAGTGACGCTTCAATACAGTGTTCCCTGAGTTAGTAACTGATTGAGGGGTATCCCCATCATGACCAAGGAGCAACTCCGGCCCCGGCTCTGTGTCATCGAGAAAGGCCCGAGTGGATACGGCTTCCACCTGCACGGGGAGAAGGGCAAGACCGGCCAGTTCATCCGCCTGGTGGAAGCGGCCTCTCCAGCTGAGCGAGCGGGGCTGCGGGCCGGCGACAAAGTGATTCAGGTGAACGGGGACAGTGTGGAGCAGGACAGCCACCAGCAAGTGGTACAGAAGATCAAGGCGGTGGCTGAGCAAACCCGGTTGCTGGTGGTGGACAGGGAGACGGACGAGCTACTGAGGGCCCGGGGGCTAGTGTGCAAGGAGGAATACATCAACGGCATCCCCGACCCCACGGAATCGGGTCAGGGGCAGCAGGCGGAGCCCGAAGAGAAAAGCCCGGTAGCCGAGACCAAAGCGGCAGACACTGTGTCTCAGAGCAGCAGCGAGAAGGTGAGGGGGCTGGGGAGAGGCTGGCCCGAGGGCGCACCGCTCTGAGAACGGGGAACATTATAGGGCAGTGGGAAGTGGCGGTCATTACCCGGGATGGAGGAGGTCAGTTTCTGACACAGAAGGGGTGGGATAGGCACGAGCGGGACGGGAGCACTGGAATCGCTGGGGTGGGTACGGCCGGAATGCGGGTCCTTCGGGGATGGGAATGCGCAGCATCTGGAGAGGAAGGCCGGCGCTGTCCTCCTTCCCTGAGGAGATTCTTTCAGCAATTCATCTGTAGTAGTTTATGAGCTAAAGTTAAAGGCTTTAGGAATAAGAATACTAGGAGCCGCCAGTGTGTGTAGCACCAGTGGGCTGTGCTGAAGAGTTGTACTGGCTGAGGGGTCAGCTCTGGTCCTAACTAGAGACTCAGTTTTTCTAAGGCTCTAAGTCCAGGGTCTAAATCTGATGCTAAACTTACTTTACTAAGTGAACAACCCTATAGAGTTTGGCTCTACCCACAACAGGATGAGTGAGCTGGCAGTAGAAAACTCCCAAAGACTAGGGAGAGATTTCACAGGATGCCACTGAACAGTCTGGTGTAGAACAGACTGTCCTTGGTACTGGAAGAAACTTGCTGAAATCTGTTTTGTACAGGGATCTGGATTGAGAGGGTGTTCATTTCAGGTTTCCCCTCCTCCTGTGCCACAGGAGACAAGGGTCAATAACTTGCATTTCAGCACATATGAGCACATACTTGCAAACATTTGCAAGTTTAGTTAGTATTTATTGTGATGATCACAGTTCAGGTATTGAGGTCAGAGTCTGAGCAGTAAGTGCTAAAGCTGTTCATTGGATGGGTGTGTGGTGGAATAACTGAAAATCTAATTAGCCCTACTAAAGCTGCTCCTATGCTGTAAGATTTGTCAATAGGTAATTCCCACTGGATCTTGTTAGGGGACTGTGTAAAACTCCATGTCTTGTAATTCTTTTCTGATCTAAAAATGAAGGGAAAAATTTACTTTTTTTTTTGCACCAGTCACTTGAAAGTTGTTACCTAAAGTTTGTGGATCACCCTCTGGAGACTTGAGGTTGTAAAATAAAACAAAGAACTGTGGATGTTGGAGATCTGAAACAAAAACATAAATTGCTGAGGAAACTCAGCAAGTCTGGCAACTTCTGTTGAGAAAACAGAGTTAATATTTTGAGTTTGGTGCATCTTCATCAGAACCCATCTGTGTTCTGAAGAAGGGTCACTGGACCTGAAATGTTAACTTTGATTTCACTCCACAGATGCTGCCAGACCTGCTGAGTTTATTTTATTTTGAAAATATACTTTATTCATAAAAAATGTTATGTACAGGTTTCATATCAATGAAATAGATCCAGTTTGGAGTCTGACTCTATCCAACAAACAAACCAAAGGAATCTCTTTATTTGTGCAAGATTACATTTAAATATAATTACCCAGCAATTTCTGCTTTTGTTACAGTAAAGTAAATGTTCTTTCTTTTAAATGTCTCCATTTAGACTGTCAGAGGTTCTTCACACTGACTGTGACTGGCAGTAGGGTAGGTTTTTCACTCTCTTGGAGATTTAGAGCCTGGCTGGGATCCAGGAGGCTTTCTGATCAAACCAGTGAAGACCGTGAACAATTTAAAATTTTTTTCCTTCAGAAGGCATGCATGTTACTTTATTAACTGAGGCCGAGTCACTAAGAGCAGGGAGGTTATGCTAAAGCTGTTTACAGCACTAGTAAGGCCACAGTTTCAGTACTGCAGATAGTCTGGCCATCCTCTTACAAGAAGAGTGAGAGTAAACTAGAGAGGTTAAAGAGGAAAATGCAGGCATTTAACTACAAGGAAGGATTGATTTAGCTGAAGGTGTCTTTTTTTTTTGGAACAATGCTGTCTGAAGGGATGTTTAATTAACTGGTATAAAATTGAGGAGCTTAGATAGTGGTAGGATCAGAAGGCCTTATTTCTCTTCAAGAGGCCAAGAATGGGAGGCCCACACTTCAAGTATTTGGTAGAAGGATGAGTGATGAGTTAAGTCTTTTTTGCCCAGAGGATGGTGGGAGTCTGGGACTGTTTGCTCAAAAGGGCTGTATGGGCAGAAATCCTTGTCACTGTTTAGAAAGTACTAACTTTTTATTCTTTCCACTTGAGGTATCATAACCAAAAGCTGGAAAGTGAGATCAATTTTATATGGTTTCTCAGCCAGCACAGACATGATGGTGTGAATGCCACCTTGAATTTAAAATCTCTGCATTTTGTATGTTTCCCCCATCCACCTCTACCTCAGATGCTGTAGCTGCTTATCTTGACAGTGAGTTGAATGAGGCCACTTTCTCCTTTTGAGAGGAGGAGCTTACTTATTGCAGTGAAAGGGTTGCAGCAGTGAAATTCTGGTTTGGCATTCAAACTTGCATGTAAAATTCATGAGCTTGAGTTCTTGTAAATGGCCCATTTCATTCACTTGTCAGATTTGAATGCAAGGCTTCAGCACTTCCCTTCCTGGGTAGGAAACAAATATCAACTGTGACACTGAGTTTGCAGAGCAGGTCATTCACTTACTGAAAAAATGTGACTCTCGCTGTAACAATTATGTGATCAAAGTATCAACACAATACATTATAGATCAAAACTGAAAACCACCACACTTGTGTGAGATGCTGCTTTACTATTAATTTATATCAAATTGCTCTCACCTCCAGTGTTAGGCTGTTAGACTGATGGACCTATTCCCACCAGTCTTGTTCTTAAGTGTTATACAGTGACAGAATACCTAACATTGATCAAAATGATCTCCAGGCACCGCCTAATTTTTGGAGTACAAAGTCTAGAAATAAATCACACTAGCTCTGAAGTAACTTAGAGTAAAGTGCCCAGTGGACAATTTGCACAATGGACAGATTGCACAATGGCTATTTTCTTTTGAAGCTTTCATCTTTGTGGAGCGTTTTGTTAAATTGGTGCAGTGTTTCTTACAGCAACTACTTATTGAAGTATGGTGACTTATGCAAGAAGGTTTGTTGGTCTTTTGGACACTATTGCCTCTCAGTGGCATCAGTCAGCTGAACTGTGTTTTGTTTGTTCAGTAGACCCAATACAACTTGATTGTAGTTCAGATAACTCTAGCTAATTGTGCATCCTACATAGAGACCCCCGCCCACCCACTGTTCCTGCTTAGGCATGAACCCACAACTGTGTGTCAGGTTGCTGTTGATGGCAAGCTAGTGGTGATAGATTATGTAGTTAAACAGTAGTTTGGTGCATTGTGTCAGTGCCATTTTGGAATGAAGCCAATCAGATCGAATTCTAGCCAGCAGTTTAAAATTAATGGAAGCTTTTCCCAATGCGTGGTTTCATGTTCATAGTAAATCAGTAGACAATTGTCTATGAATTGAAAGCAGCATCTTTATTCGATACAGTATAGCTAACATGCTCAGATTTAGCAATTAATCCAAGAACTGGTGAATGCTGTGATGGCCTTCACCTGTTCTCCCAGCTCCATTCTCTCTGGTGGTTATTTTAAGCACATGTGCAGGCTGAACTATTGAATCAGATTTATCTACAGCTGAAAGCATAAAGACCCTGAAGGAGCTCTGTAATACAATTTGAGTAATGTGCTTGTTAACTGCCAGAACACCATCCAATTAGTCACTACAGTGAAGAACTTTTTTGTTCCCAATTTGAGACATACCTGATTGGGGAATGTTTTGAGTACTGTTAGTATGACATATAAATACAGATTGGTTAGCATCTCCTTGTGGACCTGTGCTGTGCCTAATGTGCTTTGCTTTGGAGATAAATTATGGTCCATTAAATCATTATGGCTTTGTTGGAGAAATAATGATGAATAGACAGTTTGCATAACCTGGAATGCCCATCCTTCCATCATACTCAATTGCAACATTATGATTCCACGCATGTTGACAGAGTTGATATTCAGCAGGTTTAGTCGCAAAAGAAACTTGAACTTAGATTTCTGAGTGTACTGTTTATTGTAACCTGCAATGCGTGAGGACAGCATTCTTTTTAACTGTGTTTTGTAAGGAAAAGTATGTGAAATGTAGCTTTGACTTCCATGGATGGTGGTTATGCAGACGGCATTCTGGTAGTGACTTAATACTGCTTCCTGTAATTACAGCAGCATTACAACCAATGCAAAGCAAAGCTGTCTGCAGAATTTATTAATGGTTTGTTTAAAGGTTTTGTTTTGCTGGGATTATACTTGGAGTGTCTATCAATGCAGAACAACTTGGACCTATCAACTTTTTGTAGCTGTTCTTTTTAAATCCGTTTAGTGTGTGTGAGCTCTTCAAAAGCTGACTGCATTTCTAATTACTGTGTGCAGCCTGCATCAATTATGTTGATTAGAGGTTATAATTCAAAATTAAACAAAGCTGTGTATGGTTCGGTTTGTGCGTGATTGATGGCCCTTTTTCAAATTTAAACTTAAAGTCTGGGAAGTGCCTGTAAAACTCTGAGCATAGACTGATTCACTTGAAATTCCTGAATGGCAACACTTTTAGTTTGATGTTAATTCTGAGTAAATAAACTATTGACAAAGAATGGACTTGTTTCTCCAAGTTGTGATCGGTGATGTTTCTAGGTGATAGCTGTTCGCTATTGTAAACTGAGTTATCACAATGATGTTCATTATGACTGATTTTGTTCATTTTTATATTTGGGAAAAATTAATCTGTAATTTCTAAACCATAAATTGTTAGGCTTTTGAAGTCTGGAGAGAGACTTGAAGGAAAGTTAGGCTAAGTGCTGTAAATTAAGGTAATAATTGAGCAGGAGTTACAGTTCATCTCAACATTGCCATCAGTTTGTGGATAGTTCCTTGATCGGCACCCTCTTAACTCTTGACCTGAATAAGGAGATTAGCAAAGGTCACAAACTGAATAGGCATGTAGCGGTGTTGTTCATTTCCTGACATGTCGCTGTGTGGTTTTTAAATTAGTGCGGTGAGCGACAATTTGGTGCAGCGACAATACTAATGCCTCCAAG